CCCTGAAAGAGTCCCAAAACCACTCGGCCATCGCTACTGACATATACTCTTGTCGCACCAAGAGCCTCAAGTAACAAGCCAAGGCTCCAGAGAACGTCCGTACTTTTAATTATAATTATCATCTCAAGCAGCCTTGCTTGGAGCAATTTGCGAAGTCAATAAATGAACATTGCCAGAAATATCGGTCAACATGGCGTCGCGCATGCGCATTTTTCATAGTAATGGCGTCCAAACAGCCAAAGAAAATGTATAGAAGAAGATAAACTTTCCTGAATAAAAAATATATAGAGGATATTACATGGGCACGCGGAGATACGAAATTTATCTTCGAGTGTTGAAAAGATCTCTCACAAGTGAGCGCAGCGAACGAGTGAGAGATTTTCAACACGAGAAGATAAATTTCGTATCTCCAAGCGCCCAAGTAATATTCTGTTTATTATATAATTGTCAATGAAGTATGTTTTGGCTTTTTCAGGCAATTCTTTCCGTATATTTTTGAATAGCCATCGCAATGGTGTTATTTTCACATGTTATTTTCACGTGTGAAGATATCAATGTTTCGAAATAGAGAAAAATTGATATTTCATTGGTAATTATATAATAAAATATCTTACGATTCTCTCAGCTCCATCTCGAATAACAGTCTCGATTGCTGTAGCTATATTTTTAACCTAAAACGAGCTTATGGAATATTATCCACGGACTTCCTCGGTCTCTGACTTTTTCTGCACTCAAACGCCATATGTCCTCTCTTAATCGCCATTAGTTTTGCTTAACTTAGTCATTTTAAGATGAAAACAAACGGAGAAGTCATCGATTTCGACACCAGCTCTACGTTTTGTTAGCAACAGCAGGGTACAAACTCAGTCATTTTATCGCTTAAAAAGCATTATTTTGTTTTGAAAATACTTCCAAGAGTAGAATAAGTTTCCTCAAATTCATGTTCGTGCTAAAAGGTGAAGTAAGGAGCTCCAATCTCACTCCAATAAGGAAGGAACAACACTAACTCTCTCTGTCTTTGGTTCGTCCGCCATATTTATTTTCAGTAAATCTGCAATGGTTTATGGGATGTATTATTCGATACTAGGTCTTTTCGGTCATAAAAAAGGCCAGGACTTCATACATAAATACATTCATATTTGGCGCGTAAGTAATTTGGCGCGACAATCAAATTTTACAACAATCAAAATGTCTGATTTTATGAGCGAATACAAAGGGAAACAATTAAATTGGAAGCTAAAAGTAAATACAGAATTTCCTCTGGATTATCTAAAAAAAACAGACAGCACAGGAATACGAGTTTTTGTTTTGTATAGAGATCCCATGGCCTGCGCTGTGTTTGTGGAAGGAGCTTGTAGGGAAGATATAAAAACAAAAGGCAAAGAAAAAGATAACTATGGATGCATTCATGAACCACTACTCAACATTCCTTTGACAAATGTAATCCTTGATGAATTGCATCTACTGCTAAGAATAACAGATAAACTACTACAGAATATCATTGATGAGGTATTAGAGGGATGCAGTTGAAGATTTTCAGAAACCTCGAGGACAACAAAAGGGATTATATTTGTCAAAGCTGGTCAAAAGTATAAATGATCTGCTATCAAGGAATTTACCAGTCTGCTTGGATCACAGAAAAAGAAACTTTTAAAAGAATTACCTTCAAAGCTACACGAGTTTTTGTATCCTGATACATTGCCTACTATCAAACAAATCTGGAATGACTTTGGCCTACTATATGACAAGCTTTCTGATTTTAAACCGACTCAAGCAGCTGCTAATGACCTATTTCATGAAGGCAAATCTTGGATTGATCTTTTTTGTTTTGTTCACTTAGAGGAAAACGGCCGGGCTACAAAAGACCAAGAGTCACTCCATACATGCACACCATTCCTTACCACATTCCCATGTTTGTTCAAAAGCATGGCTGCTTGAAAAAGTTTACGGGTCAAGGAGTGGAGAAAAATAACGATGATGCGAAACGAATGTACTTCAATAAATCTAATAAATGGGATGCTGTCAAAGACATCCTTCAAACTGAGAACAGACAATGGGAATTGAGGCACTGTGAACGGGAAAAAGGAAAGTACACCAAAAGAAAGCTTGAGTATTGGAATACAACTATTTTCGAAAAGAGGAAACAGCAAAGACTGGAGCTTGCCACTCAAGGTCTACCTGCCATTTCAGATCCTGATGAGGTACCAAATACAAATTACAATGATTATACTGTGACTCAACTAAAGCAAATGATCAAGGAAAGGAATCTCAAACACAAAGCTCTTTCAAAATTAAAGAAAAAAGAACTCATAACTTTACTGGAAAATAACTAAAAAGTGTATTTTGTTTTCATTTGATTAATATAATGAATATTAATTGCATATATACACTGTATATACACACCACGAGAGAGTTAAGGCACAGTATGTGAAGCGCATTAAGCTGCATTACCGGGGACATGTTATCAGTGCAATGAGGAAGGAGAGAGTTGTCTCTAAGGTTGGTGTTCATGAAGAAGAAGAAACTGTTGGGGTTATCAATTATAAACAATACACTGTACAGAGTACAATTAAAACAAATAATTTTAATTAAAATATATATATATATCAGCAAGAAGTATCTCAAAACTTAAAAAAAAGAACTGAAATAATTAGAAATGAAATAACACAATATCAGTTATTATGGATGCATGCAATTGAGACAAGCATTGTATGGACCGATAGTCTCACATTGTGTGATTCTTTTAAAAAAACAAAAGAATATTTCATTGCTGACTCAACTGTAATAACTCATTTTATTCATTCACATGAAATAGTTTTATGATATTTATTATCATTTTTCGAAAATATTTTGATATTAATATTTTTGAAAGAATTAACTTTAATCATTTCTATTTTGGTGTGTACATATATTTATTTAATTTATATAGGTATTCAACTCAATTTTGTTATCAAAGCAATTAATCAAATATTAAATCATACAAAAATTATGCTACTTCATTTCTACATGTATTCGTTATCCTAACAAATTTTATAGATAGCTTTTCAGTATGAAGTCTAGGCATTTCTACAATTTTATTACCACTGGAGTGAAATCCTTTAGGTGACATTCCTAAGAAGGTCCTCATCTTAATGGGGAACATAATTTTAACTCCATCCCCATGTCTGTCATAAATGCCGTTCCAGTTTTTTGGCAACTGAGAGCGCAAAAAGTCTTCCTCTCTATAAATTGTCCAATTTCTTTCTTCCTTTCTTTTTTCCCCTTTGCCATGAAATAAGTATTTAAATACATCATGTCGGAACTCTAAAGTAATTGTTTGCTCAGGTAATTTATGTGTTAGTGCCTCCAGCAATTCTCTTCTTAACCCGTCTACATAGTGTTGAATAATATCCTCACTTGGTTTTGGATTTTGGAAATAACTGAAGAAGTAAGTATACGAAAAAAAACTATCAATGCAACGTTGAGAAAGCAGCAAGTTATTAGGAAAATTGAAGTGCATACAATATCTATTTTTCTCTGAAGATTAAAAACATTACAAACCTTAACAAAGACTTGGAAAGGTGTTCTTCGGGCTCCCATGTATTTTCAAATTCACTATAGCCCTTCCATTTCACAAGATAAATGTTTCCCTAGTGATACGGACGAAGAAAAAAGTTATTAGTTGTAGAAATTAAAATAACAGATACCACTTGTTTAGATAAAAACAAAAACTGACTCACCATTTCTGGGGATTTTCGTTGGGCAATCAAACGCTCTGCCTCATAAACTCCAAGATTTTTCACTCTTCTTCTCCGTTTTGTTTGAATTTCATCATATGAATAGTCAACCGAACACATTTTATGTAATAAATCATATCGTACACACTTTCCTCGTTTCCTTTCTGCTGTCGCAGTGATATGTGTATCCCCGAGTATTATGTATCCCCGTACCCAGATCCCTAGTGATATGTGTATCCCGTCCAGGGATATCTGTATCCCCCCAACCCCCTCCCCCTTATGTCATAATGCGAAAGATATTTCGCGGGAAAATTAACTCAATCAACTGGAGAATAAAGATGGAATCTTCAAAATATACGAGTCTTGTAGATTATCTTAGAAGTAAAACTTATCCTCAAAATTATTCTAAGCAGGAAAAACTTGTTTTACGACGAACATCTAAGAATTACGAATATGAAGAGCAGTCCAAAATACTGTTCTATCTTGACAAAAATGCGAAATGAATGCCACTCATCTGATTTCGCTGGCCATGCTGGCAGGGACAACACCGTAAGAAAAATTAAGGATCGCTACTACTGGCCAAATTATTATAAGGAGACAATCGAACTGGTATGTATAAATCCCACTTTTAGACACCTCCTCTGTTGAGCTCCCTCTGTTCTCGGTTCGTTAATACTTCGTCGTGGTGAAACCACTGAGCAGGATCGGCACAAATCTTTATTCCACTGCTACTGTAGGCTGCGTTCATAATGTACGGCAGAGAGGGCTGAGGAATTTTTTACAGTAAGAAAATTATATATGATACCCCTTCTAATAAGGGGGGAAATGTGCAACCTCCTAGAATAGGCCTAACAATTGTCACATCCCTCCTAAACTATGGATGTTAGTCTCCAAAAAAAATTCAGAATTCCCCCCAAAACTCATTAAAAAAATTCTGATACCCAACAAATTTCACCTGCCCTCCTCCCCCCCGTCATGCATTATGAATGCAGCCTAAACATTGTTATATTTATAAGGTTCTCAAAAAAGTGCTCTATTTCCTTCAGATTCAGCAATGTGATCGCTGTCAGCGTAATTCCTCTGCTGGACCAAAAAACACCTTTGATGTTCTGCATCCTATAAAGGTGGTCTCGAAGGCATGGTACTTGGTTGGAATTGATCTCATCCAAGCAACAAAGACATCAAACAAGGGAAATAGATACTTATTAACCTTAACCGACTACTTTACGAAATATGTTGAAGGACACCCCTTACAAGACAAAAGTGCTTCCAGTGTGGCCCGTGCCCTATACTCTGCCTTCTGCAGACATGGAGCTCCAGCACACATAATTTCTGACCAAGGGAGAGATTTTGTAAATCAAGTGAGTTTTTTTTTTTTTTTTTTTTTTGTGAACAACGCAGGCCCATAGAGTACAAACACTAAAATTAGCAATCCTTTGTACTATTTTATTAGTGCTAATTAAAACAATTATAGAATCTTGCATTATTTAAAGCACAATTTATCTTGCACACTTTTATTGTTTGTACTTTAATTAGGGGTTCCAATATGATTTTCATTTCTATGACATTGTGCCAATTTAGCATGGTTAATCTTATATGGCCCAATATATGATTAGCCATGCTAGCTAAATTGGCACCATCTGTAAATGAAGTTTAATATCATTGCTATTTATTTGTCTATCATCTTGCCTCCCAAATTTCTCCATACACACACACATCCTTCTAACAACTGCTCTAGGCACCAAAACATTGGCCTCTAAGTTAAATTATCTGTAATTTCACAATGTATTTAAGATGTTTTTATTCTTTTCAGGTATCAGAATCCTTGTTCTCCAAGTTCAATGTGAAACAAAGAATAACATCCCCTTATCATCCACAATCAAATGGTTTAAATGAAAGAACAAACCAGTCGATTAAAAGGTACTAAAAAATATGAAATAAACTGTGCAATATTTAACAAACATGTCTTCTAATACATCCAAATATATGATCGAAATAGACTGATAAATCATCAAACAGACTCTTCTCACAACTCTTTTTTTTTTCCCCAGGACATTGAGAAAAGTAATGGATGACAAWGAGGATATGTGGGATGAGTATGTAGAAGGTGCTCTATTTACTATAAATACCAATGTGTCTACTACCACCAAATACAGTCCCTTTTACATGATGTTTGGTAGACATCCTAGGCTTCCATTGGAAGTGGAAAAGCAAGAGAAGGATCTTCAAGAGTCAGATCTCAATAAGACACTTGAAACAGTAAATAGCAATGATGCAGTTTCCTCACACATTGAAGCCATTTGCAAGCTGCAAGAAGATCTTTTTCCTGTGGTAGAAACCAATATAAAGGTGGCCCAGGAAAAGCAAAAAGCACAGTACCAGAAGCGGGTAGGGAAAGTGCAATGTCCATTTAAAACAGGGGATGTGGTGCTTAGGAGGAATATGATACAAAAAACAAAAAAGGGACATAAGATGGAGGATCAATGGCTTGGGCCTTATATAGTTTCGCAATTGAATACTGAAAAAGGGGTATGTAGGCTCATTAATAGTAATGGAAAGCAAATAGCAAATCAAATCAACATTAAACAGCTTAAGCCATACATAACCCCATGCCCACCAGCTACCACGGCCAGTCAAGTCCCCAGTCCACCAACTACTATGGCCAGTCAAGTCCCCTGTCCACCAACTACCAAGTCCAGTCAAGTCCACTGTTCACAAACAACCACACCCAGTCAAGTCTCTAATCCAGCCACTAAGTCCAGTCCAGTCTCTAATCCAGCCACTAAGTCCAGTGAAGTCTCTAATCCAGCCACTAAGTCCAGTCCAGTCTCCAATCCAGCCACTAGGTCCAGTTCAGTCTCTAATCCAGCCACTAAGTCCAGTCAAGTCTCCAATCCAGCCACTAAGTCCAGTCCAGTCTCTAATCCAGCCACTAAGTCCAGTCTTCAAGTCCCAAGTCCACCAGACACCAAGTTCAGTCAAATTTCCACCCTAACAGATGGCACTTCATGGGATGAAAAAATTGAATCACTAGAAGAAAGTGATATAGTCCAGCTCTTTATGAAAGTAAAAAAGGAACTTGAGGATATCGAGGCTGGCAATGGAAACAACTGGCGTTTTGACTTATACCAGACAGGTAAAAGTGAGGATAAACCAGAGCTTCGACATAAAGACCTTCCATTCCATGTCCATATTGGAAAGTACACTGATGAACACTACGATATTGTGCTTGACCAACTGCGTCTGAGTTTTCCAGCAGCAAATAATGAGTGCATCCTGAAAGTTCTCTTTCCAGAGGCTATAATACGTATGACCAGAGAGGTTTTAGGTATCCCACTCAGTGAAACTGTTAAGTATCTAAAGTTTGGTCAAAAAAAGAAAAAACCAAAGAAGCGTCAACTGCCACTAGACCTCAAGACCACTACCAATGTCCTCCAGCCAAAGAGAACTAAAACTTCAGAGGAAGAAGAATGCATCATCACAGGGGTAACAAAGATGAGCAAAGAGTCACAGCACAAAATGAAAAATCCTGAATATCATATAGATGACAGTGATCGAGAAACAATTTTAAAGAATGGATGTTTGACAGATATACACATTGGGAAAGCGCAAAATCTGTTGAAAGAAAAACATCCCCATATCCAGGGTCTGCAATCAACAACACTAGGCATTGTTGGGCAATTTGATGTGATATGTGGTGAATTTGTACAAATTCTTCACACTGATTCATACAACTGGTTGTGTGCCAGTAATATCGGCCTGGAAAAACCAAATGTTGTAAACATTTATGATAGTAAATACAATGGAATAAAAATGTTCACTAAAAAGCAGATTGCCTCCTTGCTACACACTCCCTCTGATGAAATCATATTGCAAGTGTAGCCAGTAACACAGCAAAACAATGGCTTTGACTGTGGTGTATTTTCAATTGCATTTGCAGTTGCTTTATGTAATGGTGTTGATCCGTCAACATTAAACTTCAAGAGGAGAGATATCAGGAGTCATCTGTGGCATTGTTTAACAAATAAGAGCATGGAAATGTTTCCCACGGTTTCCACAAGTTCAAGCAATTCTCCAACTGGACCAATGAAAACTGTGAAAATTCAAATATACTGTACTTGTCGACTTCCATACTCAAGCAAAGACGATATGGTTGAGTGCGTAAGCTGTGCAAAATGGTACCACAAGGAATGCCAACAAGTACCAGACAGAGTTTTCAGAAGACAAAATATGCTCTGGAAGTGCAGCTTCTGTGCACAGGGTTGATCTTTATAATTCATCGTATCTCAGATGAAACATGTCATGTTATTCTTGCTTTTCCTTCTTGCGTTATGTATTAATTGCATGAATTCATGATTGTAACTGGAGCTAGGCTTCTTCATTACTTTGACATGTCCTTTATTAAAGCTTATAGCTGTTCCAACTTGTATCCAGTTTCGTGTATACAGTACACATACATTCTCAATCTAGGGATAAGAATAAACCTCAGTATTGTAAATAAAATTAAATCAGTTTCACATTTAATATATGAGAGTTAATGTGCCTTAGTAATTTTGCTTTGATTTTGTTGCCACATGGTTGTTTGCATTGAGGTAAATATATATGAATGTAATAATCTTATATATTTCATTTTCAGAAGTATTAAGTCTATCTAATTCAACACAATAGTTACTATAATCGTTTTTATTCTTCTTCTTTATCTTGATATTTGAATTATTAAAACTTTCTATCATTTTGTTGTCCAAAAGGGAGTTTGTTTTTTCTCGGCCATCGCGTAGGAACTCGAACTCTTGCTTACCTTTCCAGGCTAAAATTCCACAATTGCATGGATGGTAAAATATCGATCATGCATTTCTTTTTCTCATTTATGTAAGTAAATTCCCTAAAGTTTTCCTAATTCTCTTTTTATATTTATACTTTCATCGAATACTTGTCCAGTGATATGTGTATCCCTACCAGGGATACACGTATCGCTAGGGATCTGGGTACGGAGATACACATATCACTAGGGATCTGGGTACGGGGATACAAAATACTTGGGGATACACATATCACTGCGACACCGCCATATTGACTTTATCATTAAACCCAAGACCGCTGACAAAATAACGTGGGCGCGAAATGTCCCATATTTCTGGCAATGAAATGCACCATGAATAAACTAATTACAGCTAAAAGTACCGGCGTTCTCTGCGGTCTTGGCTTGTTGCTTGAGGCTTTTGGTGCGACAACGATTTCTGAAATGGGTGTATAATCTCTTAGACTCGGGTATGAAGGGTATTATAAGCGAGCCATGTTGTAACGATGCCATGGTTTTCCATCACAAGAAAGCTTTCATTAATTTGCTTAAATTGCTGTTGTTCTGTCCGAGACATTAGGACTGCCGGGAATAGGGTAGCAGCAAGTGGAGGGGGAATACAACAACATCATCTGCTTTTAATTCTCATATTTCAATTTTAATTTTAAATTCTTCATCTTTCTCAGCAGTACCAACAGTCGTTAATACTCACAACACGACGATCAACGCCAAGTCAGGCAAGCCACCACCACTTCATCCAGTCAACACCGAGTCACAACAACACTCCCCAACACCCACCCCCTCGAAGCCTGTTTGTCAGTGCTGTGCAAGAACAGCAGAGAAATGTGACTCGATTCCTTACAAACTGTTGGCTAACAAACCTGTTTATAGTGAGATGTCTAATGCTTTACCTCCAGGTAAGGAAACACAGGGGAGGGGTGGGGATAAAGGACAACCGTATGACAGGGGTGGGGCGGGGATGAATTTGTCCATATGGCAGGGTTGGGATGAGGATGAATTTGTACGATATAACAGGGTTGGGATGGAGATAAAATAGTACCATGTGGTAGTGGTGGGGTGGAAATGAATTTGTACCATATAACAGGGGTGGGGTGGAGATAAAATACTACCATGTGGTAGGGGTGGGCGGTGGGGATGAATTTGTACCATATAACAGGGGTGGGATGGAGGTAAAATAGTACCAAATGGTAGAGGTGGGGTGGGGATAAAATTGTACTGTCCCTTAATTTTCATGTTCTTACCTAAGAGTTCTTCTCATTTCTTTTATCAGTCAAGACTCAGGGAACAGCAAAAGCTCAAGACATGAAGCTAAGGATCATGGAAAAGAACTACGACCTTAAATGCGACTCTTGCAGGTAAGACAAATGTACGAACTTCTGGAAAAATGGACTGTTCTACTTTGAGCGTAATGTTTTCCCATTCCAATTTTAAACAAATACCCCTGTTGCTCAGGGTTAGCCTCACTGTTCCAGTGAAGGTCCGTGGAAATTTCAAAGTGTTGGTATTGTTGAAGTTGTGCATTCTTTACTTTACCGTTGGTATTTGTGAATATTTAGACACTGATACGAGGTTAAGCCTGAGTAAATGAGTCTGTAATC